GCTCGGGGGCCCGGCTCCGCTCCGTTCCGCGGCCGGGAGCGCCTCCGCGGCCGGACTCTTTACGGGAAGTCGGAAGGGTCTGAGCGGGGAAGCGGTAGGTGAAGGGGCGGCCGGGGAGCGAGGGGACAGGGGGGCTGAGAGGGTCAGGAGGGCAGGGGCCGGAAGGGCCAGGAGGGCAGGGGCTGGGGGGCCGGAGCTCCGGGCTCACGCATCTAGACCCGGCCGGCGGCAGAGACGTGCTGAGCCCGCCCGCGAGCAGGAGGCTGACTCGAGTATAAGCCGAGGGGGGCAATTTTCAGCACAAAAACTGTGCTGAAAAACTCGGCTTATACTCGAGTATATACGATATTTCAAAATAGATTTGAGATAAGATACGCAATTTGCGTAGCGCAAATTGATTATCTTATTTTGAGTTTAGGGTGCTGTTTAGATGCAACCTAATTGTCACATTCCCTCCTGTCAGAAGAAGAGGTCTCTTTCTCCATTGTCAGGCATGTCAAACTGGCATTTGGCGGGCCATATGCAGCTAAATACAGGCCCACCAGTATATTTTTTTAAAGAAATAATGTGCAGCACTTGCACAAAAGCACATTTGAGGTGTGGACGCTCCACAGGTTTTTGCTCAAAAAACAGCCATTTTTGTGCAAAAAACCTTTAGTATAGACGTAGCCTCAGAGAACTAATAATCTTCATTGCTTTTGTAAAGACACATAATTTATTACCCCAATAAAATTAATACACCCTTTCTTTCAAACACAGGGTTGAATTGGTTTTGCCCAGCTGGCCACTGTGCTCACACCGCGCCAGTGCGCCTGAGGAAGAAATGTGTGGCGGCAGCAACGGTGACTCTGGGGCCCAGGTATTAGATTAGGGGAGTCTGGGAGTGCTTGGCTATGAGGGAAGATAGAGGCATTAGGTTGGAAGTGCTGGCTCTGGTGGAGGGGGGAAGCATTAGGTGGGGGTGCCTGGCTGTGGGGGTGGGGGAAGCATTAGGTTGGGAGTTCCTGGCTCTGGGGGAGGGAGGAGGCATTGGGGTGGGAGGGGTTGGCTCTTGGGGAGAGGTAGGCGTTAGGTTCGGGGGGCTGGGAGTGCCTGGCTCTTGGGGGAGGGGGAGGCATTGAGTTGGGAGTGCCTGGCTCTGGGGGATCAGGGGGCATTGCATTGGGTTAAAACGGGGATTTGGGAGTGCCTGGCTCTGGGGGAGAGAACGGGGTTATTTTATTATTATTTTGTTTTGTATTTATTTATTCCTAAATAAAATCACAAAATGTATACTAATTTTATATGAATAAATATATGTCAATTTTTTGCAATTGCAGGAATAATGATATGTTTATGCAAAATCTTAAACTTACAAAGTATCTGAAATTTTCACAGAAGCGTGTTCTATTTGATTAACCCTAATCTATACTTGTTTTTATTTCAACAAAACAAGTTATGTATCATATACAAAATTTAAAAGTACCTTAAATTTATATTTACATAAAAATATATTTTATATGATCAAATAACAATTTTACACATCAAATTATTGTATTATATTAAAACAAGACCTGAAAACATATTATAAAATATACCTAAAACATAATCTATAATAATAAATAATTACGACTTTCTGATGAAGTACATTTTCTTTGGTGGCCCTGAACTCTATCAGTTTTTGTTTGTGTGGCCCTCAGTAGGCTTCGAGTTTGACATGCCCGCTGTAAAGCCGACCATCAATGAATACTCATTGTTCCTTAAGTTATGTTAATACATTCATTTTACAGTATTAACCACCTGTGTGTCACAGGCTTTCATCAAGCCTTTCACTTAATAAACTTTCAAAACACATTAATATTATAAATAATCAATTGATTAAGTTACTTAACACTTGAGATTGAGACTCCTGTCTTTACAGCCAAGATAAAGTTCTCCCTGGCAAAAGCTGGCTCCTATACCACTTTTAGCTAATTGCCGTATTTGCATAATATGTAAATGGACTTTCATTGTCTCAGCCTGAAACCGTGGTTGGTCCGAGAAGCAGCTGGTCATAGCTGTTTACCAATTCACCTGACATTTTTAGCTTAAACAAATTTTACTAATCATTATGTCCTACATCCATAACTTTTAATATACATCGTGTACATACATCATGTACATGTACTAATGATTAGGTTCTTATTAATTCTCCAATGCCATGTTCTATGACATCTTTCAGGATCAGATTATAAACCATACTCTATGTCTAAACTAAACCCCTCTGTCAGAGGAGGGATGTAAATGAAGCACTTCGAAAGTGCAAATGAAGTGGGGATTTAAATACCCCGCACTTCATTTGCATAATCACGTCATGGCGCTGTTTAGAACAAGCGCCATGTCGAAAGTTAAAACACAATTTCGATGCAGTTTTTTCAACAACGGGGCGATTTTTCAAAAGATCTTGTACTCTTCATTTGTACTCATGAGGAGTACAAGATCTTTCGAAAAATCACCCCGTTGTCGAAAAAAACACGTCTAAACTGCGGTTTAACTTTCGACATGGCGCTTGTTTGAAACAGTGCCATGATGTGATTATGAAAATGAAGCACAGGATATTTAAATCCCCGCTTCATTTGCACTTTCAAAGTGCTTCATTTACATCCCTCTGCCAACAGAGGGGTGTAGTTTAGATGTGTGCTGTGATACACTGTGTGCTGGGATACACTGAACTGGACAGGCCAGCTGACATTTATTTCATGATACCAGTGAGCCCCTGGTCTTTTGGCACTGGATTGCTTTTAGGGTCAGACTTTTTCATTTGCAAATATGCAGGTACATTAGTTACTGGTTGATCCAGGGGAATTGGTTAGAGTCCTTTTTCCTGAACATGGTGTTTGTCTCCGTATTTCATTTGCCTTTTATAAAGAAGAAACCTGTTTTGTCACCCTTATCTGTTTTCAATCTCCAGGACATAATATCAGAGAACACCCATAATTTCACGCAGAGAGTAGTTACAAACATTACACCGTGACATTAATGACCAGTCTGTTAGATTTCTAAAGATCTGTTTATTCGTAACCTTTTAAATAAGTATTTTGACACCAGGGTGTGAGGTATAGTGAGTATGTCAGGCTGATATGAGTTGCTGACCCAGAGCAGTAAACCACAAATGGGTCCTTGTGCCACACTATCATGTCTAGATAATTCTTAGGTGTTTGCAGGAATTGTATTTCATGAAAAGTGATTTGAAGAAAAGTATAGTAACCTTATGGCCTGGGTCCAGTCAGGAAAGGAGTTCTGTGTGTCAGTGTGGATGTGGAAGAAGACTGGACATGAGAAAGTCTGCAAAACAGGAAAACAAAGTTTATCTCTTCTTGTGGCTGTGAGGATAGTTAAGACATGGCTTGATTTTTATTCCAGGAATTCAGGGACAATTCACTGCAGAAAATCAAAGCAGCTGAACATAACATTTAACAAAGAAGTAAACAAACAAAAAACTACTGCCTTGCTTCAAGTGTAAATTAGCCTACTACATATGCAGGCAACACCATTTCCATGGTTACAAATGACCTGCTAATCTCTTAAATTATCCAGTCATGCTGAAAAACAGGCCTAGTAAATAATTATATTAAAAATGCAGAGCTGATGAAGTACTTGCAACAACTGAACCCTCTAAAGTGGAGAGCACCTGTTAGCAGTTACTTGTGCAGAGTAACATGTGGTAAGGACACATCAAACAACCTCTCTTGAAATGGCATTCACCTGAATTATTAATCTAACATATTTGAAGTGGATTCTAGGAGCACAGTCAATGGCTATTGTTGATTTATATGTATTTGGGAACAGGAAAAAAAAACACACTTTACTTCCTGTGTAAAGATTGGTATTCTGAGAGCATGACTGTGCAGGCAGTTTGTGTTTCTTTATTTCATTCTTCTAAAAAGGAATTTTATCACACAGTAGGGAGACTGCTGAACTGGAATTCATTTACAAGTTTGACACACTGTTAATCTGAGCTTGAATAAAGATATTAACTGGCTAGCACACTATGAAGCTAATTTTCCCAACCTTTGATATTTAAATTTTACATCAATTACCCTGAATGTGACACATGCAGCCTACTTAATTAGCTTCATTAACTTGGGACCTACAAATGACGGGTAACTGCTTTTGCTCTTATATATATACCTTGCATTCTGTATTTTCCACTCCAACTCATCTGATGAAATGGGTTTTACTCATGAAAGCTCATGATCTAATATATTTGTTAGTCTCGCAAGTGCCATTTCATTCTATTTTTGTTATATCTGGTAGGCTGCTAGACTATCACTGATGGATTAGTTATTAAGGTATTTGAAGGAAAATGTAAATATTCAATGAATAATTGAGCAGCTCTTATCTTTCTTTAACATATACTTGTGCAAATATATATACACTGAATTTCTCTTTTTGTACGTTTCTAAACCTACTACCCTGTTTTCAGCCTGAAAAAACATAAGAAGAACTCTTGCATGAAGGTTACAAATTTTTGAAATAAATGCTGAGGCATGCATATTTGGTCACAATTACAGTTATAATGAAGTGTTAACTTTCTTATGATATGGTGACTAAAACAGAGTGACAGAAAATATAATACTAAATACATCCGAGACTGCACTTTTCATCCCAAGTGATCCCAGATGAGTACTTTAACTGGTAAGATTATTCTGCCATGAATATTGTCTCTCCATTCAATTTAATGTTTAAATATTTCAAAGTCTAATGGCTTCAGTGGGAGGGAGGAATAAATCTACTCCAAAATACCCGAGAGTGGGTTAAGAGTGGTAAGACTAGAAAAAGACCTGGTTTCAGCTCCATGCTCCATAGCAAAGATTCAAATCTTGGGCTTCCCCATCACAGGAGAATGTCCTGATCACTGACCTCTAAGACACAAGAACGCTACTGCAGAGTTGAGCTCTTATTTCCAAATATAATTTGCTTTTATTATTAAAAATGCCCAGATAATACACAAAACATTTCGGTTTGAGTCACATGCACTGCTAGTGAACAGAAAAATCAGTTCTTTGCACATTTCTAATCAGATTCTCCTCTTGCATCCTTTTGTACTTGCGTAATTCCACTTCAGTGGAGTTA